AGGGGCTGAGAGTACAACTGCTGCGATCATGATGCCTTTATATAAACCCATAGTGTAACCCTATTTGGAATATGGTCCCTTTTAGAGTTCACTTCATCTCAAAAAGGATAGCACAATAGCTTGAAAAAGCGTAACTGAAAGGATGGAGTATTTCTCCCAAAGAAGAAAAGGTTAAAATGTTTCTGGGGTTTTTTTGTTTTCTTTTGGTTTTTGGTTTTTGCTTATGATCTGCAGAGGTGAGAAGGAAGGAAGAGATTAAAATGAGGAAGAGAACAGGATGGAGACATAAAATTATACAATTTGAATAGAAGGAAAGAAACCCTGCCCATGAACCTGAGGAGCAATAGATGCAGAAGAGACAAAAAGAGTTCATCTCTGGCCTCATATGTGCACACAATGTAATTAACGTACAGAATTCACTGCCTTGGGATGTGGTGATTAATGGCTTTAAAAGGGGATAAGGCAACCTCATGAAGGATAGGCCTACCAACTGCTGTTAGTTGTAATAGCTTAATAGCATTTCTAGCAGCAGCAGGCCTCTGAGTACCCATTGCAGAGAAAGTGGTAGGGAAGGAAAGAAAATGATGAAACGGGGCTTTCATAATGTCTTCCTTGATGGTTTCTTTGGAAACCTCTAGGTGGCCATAGCCTGAGAATTGAAAGGCTGGAATAGAGTCCAATAAACCACACTGGATGGGAATGATGGGTGTTTTAGTACTGGAGGGCACCCATTGGGTTGCAGGACAGGTTAGGTCTAAGTGGTGGCTGGTGGGTTTCTTGTCACATGGGCAGTCATATCGTAACTACCTTCTGGAATCTGATTGCCAGCAGTTAATGACTCCAGATAAAAAGTAGAAGGTGGATGCCCAAAAGGATGTGGCAGCAAGCTCTGGATGCACCACCTTCATTTGAAGGCTGCTGAGGGGTTAAGGAGAAGCTTTGTAGGTCCCAGTGTTGAACAGTGATTCATTGAGCACCTGGTGTTCAGAAACAGCTGCCTATGGATCTCCCAGCAGCTCTCTGGTGTCTTTGTTTCTTACAACCATTCTATCTCTGCGACTGGCACTGCTCTCCATGTTTATTTGCTCTTGAATGTGGAGTGGCTGTGATTGACAACTCTTGTGTCACACTTCTTCTTGGCTACATTTATCTGGATTACTAGTTTGGTGCAATGACTTCTGGGTCAGCTGATAACCATGTCTTTCAACCAAATGACTTAGAGTCACTTGCCGACTGTACTCAGGGTTTTAGTCTAAGATGCTAAATCAGGCATGGGCAAAGTTTGGCCCTTCAGGTGTTTTGTACTTCAACTTCCACAATTCCTAGCAGCCTACTGGCTTCTAGGAATTATGGGAGTTCAAGTCCAAAACACCCGGCTGCTAGGAATTGTGGGAGTTGATGTCCAAAACACCTGGAGGGCCTAAAGTTTGCCCATGCCTGTGCTAAATCCTATCCACACTATGTTCAGCACCTTAGATAGAACCTTTATATTTAGAGTAAATCCTTGTTTAGATTCACCATCCCCACTAACATGGGAGCCCCCAGCAAGGCTCTCCTTTCGTTCTTAGAGCTGCTCCCTCCATTTCAAAATATTAGTCAGCAGCAGCCACTGCCAACAATCTCTGATAGTACCTTGGATGTGTATCCTGACTGAAACAGTAGATGTATGCACATGTCGCCTGGGCAAAGAGCATGCCCTGTGCCAGCTTGGGCTATTCTCACCCGATAGACTCCTTTTCAGTTACTCCACTTGGCAGGAGGAGCCCATTGCCAGATTTAGCTGCTGGTAAGTGACTCTTTTTGCCCCTGCCCTCCCTCCGTCTCCCTGGCCCAAACTCCTGGGCTGCCTGCCAAACCAGCTTTTCTTCTGCTGTATCCAATCAATCCTAGCTGAAGGTATAGTCTTTGTTCAGTGTTAGGAACAGCAAGGGTGTCCTCCCCCCCCCCCTTTTTGAAAAAGGTTCTTGTCATTTTTACCAAACTGCCTTTTTCATGTACAAAATGTTTCCATGGAAAGATGCCCTACTGGGCTGCAAATTCTCCCATAAATCCCCACCTCTTTTCTTCTGCCTTTCAATCCATCTGACAAGCTTGATATCATTATTATTGGCAACCGGAGGCCAGCAGGCTAAGTTTCGAAGATCAAAGGCAAATCTCCCTACAGTTGAGATCCAGCCAAGACTAGAGTACATTGGATTTACTGTAAAACCCACTGAGATTCTCCTGGGATTTGAGTTTATGAAAGAAAATGTTTTCAGCCTGCTGCCAGGTTGAGGCTTTCTCTTTTAATGAACACAAAAATATACATTGCACCCTAGCAAATTTTATCTCACCACTAATCATTTCTCATGCTGCTGCAGGAGTGAAAAGCGTTTGCAGAGGAATTATTTTTAGTGTTCAGCTCTCAGTGAATCTTAGAATTATCTTTTTTAAAAGGCAGATTACTTTATCTGGAGCCTGTTCACTTACAAAGGAAGAATACATTACAGAAAGCATTCATTTCAAACATAACTGGCAATTCTCCCTTATATATTCTTTTTTTCTCCAGGCACCAGAGATCTAATTTATTGAACCAATGAATGTATTACACAATGCATTAAAAACCAGAAGTGCCAAATGACTTTAGGGTTTTTTCCTGTATATCAACTACTAGGGCCAACATATATTAAAAATTGAAATTGTTTTCCCAAGAAGTCATCTTCAAATTGTTATAGGAGTGTGACATGTTGTTTTCAAATGATTACATGTAACAGAGACTAAATGAATCAAGATCTTTTGACAAAATCCATTACTTAATGTTGGATGATTCAGGGATTTGAGGAACTGCAATTGATCACATCAAGTAGGGGAAGACTTGAAATGAATAGCCACTGTTCCTTTGCTAAACCAGTAGAAAGTAATTTATTGCAGGCTGTTTTGAATAGATATCAAACTTCTCATGGTGTCTCAGTGTTTGGTTTCTTTAAAACAACAACAACAACAAGAACAAGAACAACAACAACAACAACAAGGCATAACTTTTGAAACCCTTTGGGGTTTGAAAACCTTTTGCTCAAGAGAAGAAACAAGCAACACAACATCACAGAATTCTTAAATTTCTTTGAGATTGTCAAATGTACTACGCAGATGCATCTTTGATTTCATAAGGTTTGGATGCTGTTCAGTCAAGATTTTTCTGCAGGGAAGCAAACGTATTGTAGAAAGATGAGAGTTGATGGTGATGGAATATTCAGCTGCTGCTACTACCTCACATAGAATCAAATCTATCACAAAGCCAGCTTGAGAATCTTATGACCTCATCACACTAGACTAGAGAATGAATCCACTTTAAATTGGGTTGCTGCCTCCTGCAAAATTCTGGCGTTTGTAGTTGAGGGAGGAGCCTTTAACAGCCTCACCAAACTATAAAACCCAGAATTCTGCAGGAGGCAGAAATCAGATTTAAAGTAGATTCATTCTCTAGTGTGATGAAGTAGTTAGTGCTGTAGTGATTAGCGTTAAGACTAGAACCTTGTTTCGAATAACCCCTTGCTCATTATGCTCTCTGGACAACCTTAGAGCTGTTTCTTTCTCCCCTTTTCCTTTCTGTATTAAAAAGGTCATCCCCGAACCCTCTGTAATAGACAATTATCACCAGTGTCCAACCTTCCATTTCTGGGTAAGGTATTGGATTATGTGGTAGCCTCCCAACTCCAGGCGTTTTTGGATGATACAGATTAACTGGATCCATTTCAGTCTGGCTTCAGGCCTGATTATGGGAGAGATAGCTTTGGTAGCCTTGGTGGATGACCCACACATAGAACTAAACAGGGGTAGTGTGTCCTTGTCGGTTCTACTGCACCTCTTGGCAGTTTTCAATATCATGGACCATGGTATCATTCTGGGCTGCATCAATAAGACATATATAAAATGCTACAAAATGGTATCAATAGAAATAAACAATTCAAAAACAAGTTTAGTTCTCACTACCATGTTAAAATGGAACCACTTTAACATGGTAGTGAGAACTAAAAATTGTTTTTGAGTTGTTTATTTCTATTGATACCATTCTGGGCTGCCCCACTGAGATGGGACTTGGAGGCACTGTTTTAATTCCTTTAAGGGCAAACTCAGAAGGTGGTGCTGGGAGACTCCTGTTTAACCTCCTGGCCATTGGTTTGTGGGGTCTATCAGGACTCTCCCCTCCCACCCCACTTTTCTGTTTACTATCTACATGAAAGGCTATACTTAACCAGGGCTGGCTATAGTTCCAATAGCTTCCAGTTTGTTTTAGGGCACAATTCAAAGTATGGCTCAGGTCCAGGCTATTTGGGAGGTTGTATCTCCCTGTACAAACCTTCCCAGGCACAGAGATCTTCAGGAGAGGCCCTTCTCTCAGTCTCACCTCCATCTCAAGCTCAGTTGGTGGGCCTCTTCTCTCAGTGACTCCGGTACTCCCTTCATCTTCCCAGGGAAGCCAGAATGGCCCTCCTCCCTGTTGTCCTTCAGGATGCAAGCTAAAATATTTCTTTTCACTTAGGCTTTTAAAGAAGAAAGTTTTTAAGAGCAAGCCTGAGGGTGCTGTGTAATGTTTTAATTATTTTCATAGTTTTTAAAGATTTTAGGTGATTTTAACTATTTATTTTAACTATTGTATTTCTTTGTTTTCATGTTTAATGGTAATTCGTACTGTTTTTAATGTGGTGAGCCAATTTGTGTCTCAATCAAGAGATGCAAGTGGAACATCAATATAATAGTAATACATATGTTGTGAAATGCAGATAAATGAAAATGCAGATACCAGTCCCATGTATATGCAGGTTGTACTGTGTTTACACAGTTGGCATTTAGTTCAGAGGGCTAGCATTGCAGCCTATTATTGAGCAATGTAGTTGTCATTTGCATCTTAGGGACTCTGATAATTGTATTGGAGGGGGAAAGGAGATTGGAGGTGTGTGATTAATATGTATCGTTAATACACGACAGTTAGGCATTCTCTTTGTTTTCTCTCTATTTTTTAGTTTGACCCTGAAAACACTGGCTATATAAGCACAGAAAAGTTTCGAAACCTTCTCCAAAGATACGGCTCTGAGCTGGATCCACATAAACTGGAAGTGCTTTTGGCCTTGGCAGACAACAATTCTGAAGGGAAGATATGCTACCAAGACTTTGTCAACTTGGTAAGTGATTCTTTCAAAGGACACATATTGCTGTGGGATTTAGGGTTTCCTGGACCAAAAAAAAAAACAACAACAACCATGAAGGGCCTCGGTTCTGATATGCTAATGCTCTGCTTCCACTTCATCTTGCATTAGGTATTTTTCCCATCAAAAGTCACATATAAATGAGGTGGTGATGCTTGTTTAAATATAGAAAACCTTACATGTTTTAAGTTATATCTCCAAATCTAAACACTTCTCTTTACCTGCCAACATTTTAAAGTCTAAGGCCTAGGATCTCTTATCACTGGGCAAAATAGCCCTGTTTTGCCACTTTTAGCCACAATTTGCACCGGGCCTGCCGAGCCCTATCCAACGATGCATGGCAGGCACCATCCTCATTCCTTCTGAAGTGGAGGGGAAGCATCAGAAGGCTCCTCCTCCTCCACCACGGGGAGAGGAAAATGTTTTTTGGGTAGCTCCAATGGAGCTATCCACACTTTCCTCCCCCTTTCCCCATATGATGGGGGAAAGGGTGGTGGGGCAATGCGTGTTGTCGCATGTTGCTACCCTTTCTCCCTTCTGATGACATCCTGTTCTGTCCCTACTATGTGATGGGGAAGGAGGGAAGGCACATGGGGCGCCATAAGGCACTCTATGTGCCTTCCCTTTCACTGGTAACTGCTCGTGCAGTTGCCAGTGTGGGCAGTGTGAAGAGATCCCTAGTCTTAAATTGTGTCTCTTTGTGACAGACATGTTAGCTGGGGAACATATGTGTACAATGGTTAATGGTTTGAATTGATTTGTAATGCAAAACATCCTTCCAATGGTTTTGTATTTTAAAGTTTTCAGTCTTCAGATACATGGATTGGGGAAAAAATATTTTGGGGTCACAACTCTTGGAATCCATTTGCCAGCATAGCTAAGGGCCATATTGGCTACGGATTCTGGGAGTCAAAGTCTAGAAAATGTAACATTTCTAACCTTTATAATTCTTATTGTGTGTCGAGGTGTGGTTGTTTGTTTGCCAAGCAGGAATGCTAATTCCTCGTTTATCTTGTTTTCACACACAAGGCCAAGAAAAAGCAATTTTTTTCTCTCTGAAAATTGAAGTAGTTTTTGTCAGTTTCAATGACAGCTTTTGCAATTGTGTAAATTATTTTTCTGTAAATTGCTCACATTGTGCAAATTATAAAGCAGAACTGGTAGAAGCTGTCTTATTGCATTGGCTTTTAAAAACTGTTTGCATCTTTTTGTGCTTACTTGGTATATGCATGTGTTTGTAAGTGCCTTCTGTCATACAGGAAAAGGACACTAGTTTTGTGTAATCATGCAGCAACTGCAAAAATATGATGTTATATTGTTTTAACATTAGAAGAGAGAAATGCCACCAGATTTTTTTTAAACCTTGAGAAAGTTTTTAATTGATAATCTGTAATTTGGTGACTTTTTTTTCAATTTCTTGCACTGCTATAAATACTGGAGGAGACAGATGCTACCAGGATTAACAAAATGGTTGTCAGTGTTTTTCATTGAAAAATTGGTAATTTAGTGACATCACATTTTATGACTATGATTTCACGTTGCATAGTTTTAATTAATGGGTTTTAATGTTTATATTGCTTTTAATTTTGTGTTTTAATGTATATGTTTATTTTATTATGTCTGTTTGATATGGCATTGAATTGTTACCTATTGTAAGGCTGCTCTGAGTCCCCTTCGGAGAGAGTAGGGTGAAATATAAATATAGTAAATAAATAAATAATAAATAATTTAAGCACCAAAAGGTAGGATTGTGTGCCAGCATATATGCTGTACTTGAAGAACCGTTCTTATATTCATGTTTATATGCTTTAATGGGGCCTTGGTGTCCACTCTGGTTTGGATATAAGATTCCCCTGTGAATACCAAAATCCATGAATACTCGTCCCATCATATTGAATGGTAGTAAAATAGTGTCTTTTATATATAACTGAGAAATCAGGGTTTCTTTTTATGATTTTTTTAAAAATCAAGCCATGGATGGTTGAATACATGGATGCAGAATCTATGAATACGGTGGGCTAAACTTGGTATGGTTCCCAACACAAATATAAACAGGGACCTTAGACCTTGGTCTTTATGAACCAAAATTTAGTTATGATTTCTCAAACCCTAGGATCCCAACATTGCTGCTGCTGCTATTAAACATATTTCTGAAAAGCAGAAACTGAGAAGAGAAAGTTGTACAAGAGACAAATAAATCAAGATGGTCTCATGCTGTAGAAGTGATAGCTCAGTCCTGAGTATGAAGAGCTTGACAGTTCAAGGCTTTAAGGCAGCCTCGCTGCTCCAGAATAGTTAAGCATGTATCTGCTGAGCTTATGCTTTAAATATGGGAGCAACGAACAGAGAATACAAGAATCAAAAAGGCTATGAACATTGCAGAGTATGGGGAACACAAGTAAGCTAGTCTGTGATATATAGTTTTGGATCATTTGGAAATCTGTACATTTGATTTAGGAAATGGCCTCACTGCTAAAGTAAACTTTCATAAGACATGCATACTTTAAATTTTTACAGTGTGATTTTTACATTTAGGATGCTACAACCATTTGCCATCCTTTCCAAAGAGGGCTGAGTTTCTTATTTAAAGAAAGCTGTTATTTCACTTCACTTTTTCAATTTCTGGCTTTTGCTTTTGCTTCATTTTCAGATTTGATATGTTATAAATATGTGTATGCTCTACAATTGTAAGAAAAAGGAATTGCTCTTTTGATGGTTAGATTCTCATCACTCTCCGACCCCACAAACACAACCAAGCCACGGTATCCCAAGAATTATCTGTCTCTTTTCTGTAACTTTATCTTGTTTCTTCATGTTCTGTCTTTAACTAAATATATGTTCAAGGATTGCACCTAATGTAAAGTTGTTGGTCTTTTTAAGTGCCTACAGACAATTACATGACTTCATTTCTACCCTTCAGTCTGCCTGTATTGGCTGGGGAATTGTGTGGAGGGGGGGGGGTGTTTAGTCCAAAGAAGAAACTTTTCCAAACTTTGGGTTGGTTTAGCTGAGTCCACATAATTGTTAGAGGATATAATGACCATTCTTGTCATATCCAACAGAGCCAATGGGAATTTCTTGTAGCAAACTACTTTGGATACTGGCTTGGGTTGCGGATGGTTGTCATAGGTGAAATGGGCTCAAGATCTCCTATGACTTGTACACTGATGATCAATGCTGAAGGTTGCTAAAAGCAGTAGCCCAACAACACTAGGTGCTTATACATTTGATTTGTGTTTTTTTACATGAGCAAAACAGGGACATGTTTACTGTCCCTATAAAGCCTTTTGAACTCTAGTAAACAGATCACTAAGACCCTGTTGCCAACCATGCCAAACTTTGAAGTCATTTTACAAATTAGTTGTAAATTAGTTGTAAATTTGAAAATTGGGGGTGATGGGAGTTGTGGTCCAGCAATCTGTAGGGTCACAAGCTGGGAGAATTTGTGCTAAACAACCAGAACCATCTTCCACTTGGACTATGTGTAGGGAACATATGTACCTTCTAGTGTTGTTGACTGCCACTCCTAGAAAACTTCACAACTGATTTTCAGAAATGACCTGATGAGAATTGCAGTCCATCTTCTGGAGGGTGACAAGATGACATTTATATTGGCTTCACGGTATTGTAAAGTGAGCTTACTTTCTTTTTTGTCAATCTTAACATTAGCTTTTGCCATTGTAAAGGGTTAATAGTTCATAAGTCAAAAGTTTAGTTTGGAGCCAGAGGTCAGGAGGTTTAGCCAAGAAAGAAGAACTGATCAAAGGTCAGTAAGAAAGCAAAATGTTATACAAATCAGCAAAATGATGAAAGGGAACTGGATTTATAGATTGTGGGAGTGGGAATTATCCTCCTAATAAATTTAAAATCTTAAATTAACATTTAAAAATGAAAACAATGAAAGCTGTGGACAGATAAACGAAAGATCAAAGAAGGATTCATGATGTCCAGAGTCCTGAATGTGGGCAAGTGGGTAGGAAACAGCTGTTGAAGCTAAAGATCTGATTAAGAAGATTGGATGAAGGATAGCAAGATATTGCTTAGATAAGGAACTTGGATAAAGTAAGGACACTGGCTAGTTCACATTATTAGCTACATTTATTCTTCCTGGCTTTTTTGTTGTTCTAGTAGCAAAAGAACCTGTCTTTGTATATGTCAGATGAATAGCCTACATAGTGTGACATAAAAAGTCTTCAAGCAATACTATGTGGTTGTTGTCAAACTTGGACACATTATGTGTTTGTTGTCAAATTTGGACACATTAATGCTCCCGGAGGTCAAAGGCAATACAAAAGGAGGAAAACTGTATTACAGATGGATAGACTCAATTAAAGAAGTTATGACCTTGAGTCTCCAAGACCTAAACAGTGCTGTTGAGAATAGGGTGCCATTCATAGGATCGCCTTGGGTCGAGGCCAATTTGAAAGCAGCTAACAACAACAAACTTGTCTGAAAGTAAATAGATGGGAGAGTTGCTGACATCTACCTCCCTGCTCACCCTGGCATATAAGAGGTCATTGAGAGGAGTTTTGAAAGGGAGATATGTCATGAACAGTTTTTGACCCAGATGATGTCTCCTGTATATGAGAATGTATAATTGCACATATTTTGAGGAAATGTAGCAAAGTACAATTGATTTCCTGTCATGTCTGCCACTTTATTCCTATTCACTTACATTTTTGCTCATCTAATCAATCTGTGTGTAAAGTGTGACACTTTAAATAATGCCAGGACAACATGCCACCCGGGGGCTGGATGCTGCCCTCATAAGGCTTCGGTGTGGCCCGCAGAGGCTCTGAGTCTAAGCCTTTGAGAGACCAGCATCAACATTACAGCAGAGAAGTATTTGGAACCCATCATTCTCCCCTCCAAATGCTCTACTTCTACACATTTCCTTTCTCTATTTTATTTATTACTATATTTGTATACCGCCTTTCTCCGCCCGAAGGCAACTCAAGGCAGTTTACAGTCAGCAA